CACTAGGACTCGCCTAAGGGTTGCAGTCCCTGTGGCCCAGACTGCCTGTCAGGTTTACTTCAAGACCCAGAGCACTTTAGCCTTTGGTAGTAAGATCTATGGGAACTCAAGGGCTGATCACTGGATCAGTATTTCCCCTCTGTCTAGGTCGTTTTAAATGTTCCCTCCATGGGCCGGTGGCAGCTGAGTTTGATCCAGTTTTCCTTTCTGCTCTAACAAGACAGCACCGAGTTCAGTGCCTCACAATTACTGTGTTCTTCTTCCCCCAGCAATCAGCGACACTTAGTACCATGCCGTCACTGTTGAGGATTGGGGAGGGTGGCATTGGTGATTGAGGACTGTTTTTTCTGTCTTGTTAGCGTCATTTTCTTCGATACAGAGTTAAAGCCAGATACTATAAGTGATTTTTGGTTCTGACCAAGGTGTTTTTTCTGTGTAGATAGTTGTTAACTTGATGTTCTTGTAGGGGAGACAATTGGTGAACTCTTCTATTCTGCCATCTTGCTCTACTTTCTCTCCCCAAGCCGTAAATTTTATAGAGGTCCAGGAGGGGAGCAGCTAGTGCTTGACTTACAACCACGGTCGGGACCACGGACCGGTCATAACACGATTTGGTCGTAAGTTGAGTAGGCTATATGTACAGTTGAAATGGTGCACACGGAGATGGTAGTGCTGCCGGAAGCTGGTCCACACTGTCGTACGCCCAGCTGGGCAACGTTTGCGCTGCCAGACGCAGAGCAGTCGTGGCTAGCGATTGTGGTCGTAAAGTCGAATGGTCGTAAGTTGCATAGGTGGTAAGTCGATCAATACCTATTGAAGGTCACAAAGCTGGTTATTGTCAGAAACAGAGCCAGAGCTCTGGCATGCAGTGCCCAGGCCAGCATTGGTTTTTCCAAATACACTGGGCAAGAAGTCAAGGAGTTCCTGCGTGGCGCCTTTCGCTCTTTCTTTAGTAGAAAGTTGTTTTCCATATTTACGCATCTAGATGAGAACTAAAGGCTCGATACTTCTTTGATGTAGACCTTCCTATTTGTCACTAGTTTCCATCACACTTCAGAGTACTTGGGGAGACTGAGCTATTTCTGGATGGTCAGGATCCTTAAGGGGATCTGCTCAGCATGGATGGCTCCCTGCTGCCTTTGCAGGACAGGGCCCTTTACTCTGTACAGTCCAGTGACTCCCTGTCTTCCAGCTGTTCTCCCACAGAGCCCTTCCTTTCTAGTCCTTCCATGTTCTTTGCTGCAACTGCTCATTTGATTTAAATATTTTTGGGTGGTCTTCAATTTTAATTATTCTCACTAAAAGCACAGTAATTAAGAAAATTAATTTTATAAGGTGTTTTGATTTCCATGCATTTGGCTTTTATGCTGACCATTACCTCTCTGATAAAAGCACCTTCCTCATCTTGTTCACAGTTGAATCCCTGGCACCGAGCCCAGTGCCTGGCCTAGACCAGGCACAGATCTATTTATTAACCAAATGATTGACTACTCTAATGAATTAATTTTACATTAGTAACTGAAGGAAAATTTTGAAAGGTGAAATTTATCAGGTAAAGTGAAGAATCCCTTAGGAAGTAGCTGGGTTCAGTAGTCTCTACTTCATGTTCAATAAACATTTATTTATGATTTGTTTTATGCCAGTATTATGGTATGGCCTGATAATTAAAAAATGAAAAGCATTGTTTCTTCTACTGAGAAACTGTCAGCCTGGTGGTGATTGATGAATCTAGAGATTAAATGGATCATTTTAATATCATGTGCTAAGGGTAGAGTCATAGACAGTGTCTGGGGAGCAGGAAAAGAATAAGAAGGAGCCATGAGTGGCAAGCAAATGGTCTGGGAAGGCTTTCCAAGAGGAAAGGAGTTCCCAGGCGAATTTCAAAGAATGAATAGGATTCTTAAAAGTAAAGAATGAGTATGATTCATAAGAGTGAGAAGGGGTCTCTAGGCAGAGAGAACAGAGAGAACATTATAGGACAAAGCATGGAAGTGTTAAGCATTATGTTTATGTTGGATCTAAATGATTTTGTTAGAGCCTATGTAAGTATCTGGTAGGGAGGGTGGGAGCCGAGACCGTGGAGTTGTTAAACAGGGGCAAGGTCCAGGGGGCTGCTTATGCATAGGCTTTACCATGCAGCCACTGAGGGCCTATACAAGTGCACAGTCCTGGGGCTGCATTTGTGCTGGGAGACATCGGTATTGAGATGGATGGAAGTCAGAGGTGAAGAGGGCTTTGCAACTTGGAGACCATTTACGAGGCTAATAAAATATCCAAAAGAGTGCTGATAGTCTCAACTTGGGAGAAGGCCATGGGGGATTTCTTCTTAAAGCAATCGTTTAAGAACTCTTTGCTGAGTACTGAACAAAGCTAGGTTCTGTGCCAGGCAGAGAGAACATGGTGGTGAAGAAAACAGCCACCACCACTGCTCTGATGAAGCCTGAAGGCTGAAAGGGAGGGGAGGTAGAGATTAATCAGATAGCTCACTAATAAGATGTGTAATTACAGGGAAGATGAAAGAAATGAAGAAAAGGAAAAATCTCAGATCAAACAGATGAGGGCCTAGTGAGAAGGCAGTGGCTCGGGGAAAGCTTTCTGATAATAGTGATGTTGATGGTCAGGAAGCATTATGTGGGTGATAAGAGTTGGGGAGATTTTTTCGAGACTGAGGAAGTAGCAAATGTGAAGGCCCTAGTATAAGAGGGAACTCAGAGTATCTGAAGAGTGGAAATCAGGGTTAGAGTGATGATGAATAAGAGAAATTATGGTAAGTGATGAGGTTGGATAAGTAGTCAAGGGCCAAGATCAAGTAGGAACCAGCAATTCAAAGTAGTATGAATTTTATTCTAAGAACAGTGACAGACAGCCAGACAGATTGAAAGCAGGAGAGTAGCATGGCTTGATTATCATTTCTGAAACAGCAGACTGGCTGCTGTGCACAGAATGATCCATTGCAGGGTGGATCAGAAGTGCAGGTGCAGAAGTGCAGGTAAGGCATGAAGGCACAGGTAACATGCTATCTTTGAAGATGGAGAGATGTGGATGGGTTCAGGGCATCTTAAGAGGTAAAACCCACAGGGTTTAGTGTTGGGCTGAATATGGGAAGAAATATGGCATGGTCAAAAAAGTTAACTAGGCTTTCTGACATGTGCTATTGACTGGATGGTGATGCTATTTAGTGAAATAAAATGGCTCTGGAGGAAAACCAGATTTAGGAGTGAGATCATGAGTTTGGTCTCATCATGCATTGAGTAGTATGAGGTGTCCTTGGATGGTGGAGATCCAGAGTAGGTTATGGCTTGTGTGGGCCTGGAGCTTAGAGGCAGGACTAGAGATATGACCTTCAAAGTCATTGGCCCTGAAATGATATTTGAAGAGGTGGGTGTGAATGAGATTGCTTAGAAAAAGAGTGGAAAATAGAAGGCTTAGGAATGAAGAAAAAGACAGACTGAGAAAAGAGGAGGTAAAAGTAGTTGAATTTGGTGATTGATAAGTTGAAGAAGGTGAAAGAAAAGCTGTTGCCCAGAATGGTTTTTGGATTTTACATATGTGTGTTCTAGTGGGTGGCGTTACATTAACTAGCTGGAGATAACTTTTGTTTGAGACATGCTGTATTTAAATAGTTTGTGGAATATACAATTATTATTACCATCATAAAAGATATGTATTTTTGTATTTTTCCTAGCTCCTCTCTTACAACTTTTCCATATCCCACCCCAAATATATAGGAGGAGTAATGGAACTAAGTAGGTGATTGTTAAATTTTGGTAGACACATGGGAGAGGAAAGAAGTAGAGAAAGACTCAGGGACAGGGAGTCAATACAGGGAGACAATGCTAGAGTTTGGTGGTAGGATGAAAGAGCTGGAGCAATAATAGAAGAGGAAGGGATATAAAAGAATATGGAAATGCAGAGTTGGAGGAGGAAGATTGAAACTGAAGATGTGATGAACCCTCATGGATCTCTCACCCAACTTTGACAATTATCAACTTCTGGTTAGACATTTTTCATCTTTACCTCTACCCACTCCCACCAATTTTAAAGACTAATTAAAAGTAATTTAAAAACATGATATTATGTATTTTTCCATCTATATAACATTCTTAAAAGGATGAAACTATAGAAGTGGAAAACAGATTAATGGTTGCTGTGGAATAGGAACAGCATGAGGGAGTTTTTTTGAAAGTAAAACAAGAGGGTTCCTGTTTCTCTCAAGCTGGCACCTAAGTCAGGCCTTTGTTTATAGCCACTGCTTGAAAAGTGTTTTTGGATTATTAAGTAATGAAATTTTATTATACAAGCTTACTAGTTTATATTATAAACAATATAAGGCCGGGGGCGGTGGCTCACGCCTGTAATCCCAGCACTTTGGGAGGCCGAGGCGGGTGGATCACGAGGTCAGGAGATCAAGATCATCCTGGTCAACACGATGAAACCCCGTCTCTACTAAAAATACAAAAAACTAGCTGGGCATGGTGGCGCGTGCCTGTAATCCCAGCTACTCAGGAGGCTGAGGCAAGAGAATTGCCTGAACCCAGGAGGAGGAGGTTGCAGTGAGTCGAGATCGCGCCATTGCACTCCAGCCTGGGTAACAAGAGCGAAGCTAAGTTTCAAAAAAAAAAAAAAAAAAAAAAAAAAAAAAAAAAAAAAAAAAAATATATATATATATATATATATATATATATTTTATATCTATCTATCTATATATATATATATATATATAAAATATATAGTTTATACCAAAATATAATGGCCAAAGTGAACTCTCTTCATAGCTCAGCTTCTAGCTTTTTTTTTTTTTTTTTTTGGCAATTCAGTTACTTCCGGTTGAAAATATGTATTTATGGAGTGAGATTTTGTGACAGTGTAGGTTTTGATTTTTCTTGAACAGAGCTGATTGTCTGCTTTGCAGGGCTTCGTGTTATTGCATCAAAGTTTTTTTTGGGAATGTGTCATATGTGATTCTAATACAATTTCCTGTGGGTATGATTTCTTAACAGAAAGAGTTGAATATGGAGGAAGTATCCCTAAAATCATTTATCCAAAAAATAATTCAATTGAAGTACAGCTAGGTGAGTAAATCATTGAAGCCATTGAAATCACTAGGGGAAGAGCTTATTATGTCTGCTTATCCTGGTGAATATCTTAAACCTTAAGGATGAAGATGAATCCCATACACACCTAGTTTCCAACTTTGGATATTCCCGACTGAGCTCATGGGGAGAGGAATCAAAATAAAACACCAGAGAGCCAAAGCATGGAAAAGTTGTGGTGGCAGAGAAGTCTGGCAGTGAACACTATGGGCCTAAAGTGATTACTATAAATTCATTTATGCAAAGGCAATGAAAATGCAAATATTCTTGAAGAAGACAGTACATAATATAAATATAAAACAATTATTAAATAATGTTGACCAGGAGTTCTGGATTATATTCCCTCACACTGCAAGGTATATTAAAGGAGTGAAAAAAATTATTATATTGTATTGCTTAATCTACATGGAAAAGGATCGACAAGCATTATCTCAGTTTGTGATCTAACTAGAAAAAAGGGGTCAAATTATTTTTTAAAACTTAAAAATAATCACTAGTAAAATAAATATGTTGTATAACATCTGAAGAAAAAGCAAATTAAGCAAAAATCCCAACACCTCCCAAAATAGAAAGTTATATGTGCCAAATAGTAGTGTATCAAAATACATAATGCTAAAAGTCTCAGAAATATAATACATAAAACAACACAATTGTTTCAGATTTGAACATACTCTTGCTCTGAGAAATTTACTAGGAAAGTAAGATTCTACATGGCTCAAATAATATAGTAAAAGTAATGTGTCTAATACATAGATCACTCTCAGAAACATCTATGTAAAACTCAGAGTCCAAAAGAGAAATTGTATAGATCATGGGGTATAATCATGATGCAGTGAATGTAAAAATTTATAACTAAACCAAAACAATAAAATAATCACAGTCATTAAGTATGTGAAGTGATGGCTTTGTTAATTAGCTTGATTTAATTATTCTATAATATAAACATATCAAAACATCACATTGTACCCATAAATATATACAATTATTGTCAATTAAAACTAAACAATATTAAAAAATGTAAACAACAACAGAAAATCCATCTTTCAGCTATTACATTTTTGGTTAGAGAACCAAAGCCATAGATAAGGAATATTAGAAAATAATGATAGTGAAAATACTTCATATCACATTTCATGGTGTATGACCAATGCTGTACTCCAAACAAGTTTATATCTTTAAATAACACAATTATTAAGTGTAGAAATAATTAAAGTATACAATTAACCATTTGATTCTATAAAAAAATAACAAGAATAAAAGTAGAAAATAATGAATTTATTAAAGGAAAATAAACTAATACAGTGTGTCCCAGAGTTGGTTAAGGGCAGAAGAGTTGTGGTGGGGATGGAGGAGAAAGATAAACTTCCAGCAAATCTAATCCCCTAAATGCAGAGACAACCAAATATAAAGCATTTAGAAATATAGGAAAGTTTATATAAAACAACAAATGATAAAGAGATGAAATCTGTTTAAAAGCCACTAGGTCCATATGTTTTTAGAATAATTCTTTTAAACTTTCAAGGAAATAATAATGCCCATAATAAAGGATAATTGTCTACACATTACTCACTATATGAATACTCTTAAAAGACAAATTTGGCTGTTTTCTCTCTCTTAATTGACTTCCTTTCCCATTCCTGCCTTTATAAATTCTAGCCAATGTGTTTAGATAATTAAAAGGCAAGAGAGGGAGTCTTAGAAGTCTTGGAGGGAGGAAGATAGACTTATAATTTGTAAAACTTGATCTATTGGTTTCTACTTAGAAATTTTAACAAAATTAAGTAAAAAACTATAATCACTAGCATTTGCTTACTAATGTTATTTTAATACAAAATAAACACTCAAAGTTAATAGAATTTTTACATGCCTAAAATAGCATATATTTTGTAATTGGGGAAAACGGCATTCACATTTGCAATACAAGTATCAAAATAGTAAGGAACAACTGAACAAGAAATTAGAAAGACTTGTCTACATGATTAAAAATGCAACATTTTAAGGTGGAACATAAAAGAATATGTGTTTTAGTGAAATTCCAAAAGATGTTTCTAAAAAGAAACAGTATTAAAATGTTATTTCTTCTAGATTAATAATTCAATATAATACCCATTAAATTTTTCTGAATATACTAAAACTTGTCAAAGCATTTCTAAAATTTCTGTCAAAAATTCTGGAAAGAGTTAGCCAAGAAAAATTGAATAGAAGAAAAAAGAGAGCCGTTTCCTTGTGAGTATTAAAATGTATTATAAAAATGTAGATTAGTATGTCAACAAGATTGCTGACTAGGGGTTTCTAGCACTAATTCCCCTACAAAAGGGCCAAAATATCAAATAAAAAGCTACATTTTGGTTAGAGTGTCTGAAGGAGAGCACTAGAGTACAGCATAGAAATGATGGAGTCCCTGTGGAGCACAGAAACTCAGGATGGCAGCATAGACAGGGGTGGAAATCACCCTTTCTCTGTAACTCTGTTTCCCCCACCAAGATTGACTTGGAGCCAAGAAAAACTTCTTGCAGCAAAAAGGTGTAAGCAGAAGGCCCCTGCAACCTTCATTAGCACTACAGACACCTGCAGTTCTTGCTACAGAAGAAATCTGCAGTCCTCACAGGCCCTGAGCCATGTGGGGAGCAGCCTGGAGTTCTCATGGCTGCATTGCTCCAATGCAGGAAACTACCTTGTGCACACCCTTATCCCCCATGACCCACTCTGCTACAGCATGGCACTATCTTGGAATTCTAGCTACTGTTAGAGTGAGTCCTGCTGTGGGGGCCACTAGCCACTGCATCTCTCCACCCTCAAGGCTCTGCCATCATTCCACCATGTTCATACGGGGTGGCTACAACTCCACAATCCTGGTTACTTGGAGTATAAGCCCTGTGAAATTACTGTGATCCTCATGCTCAAATGCACATAGTACCCTGCTTTCTGTATGGACAAGCAGTCCTGCACAATGGGGAAACTTCCCCTGGCCAGCAGTTCTTCTCTGCTCACCCTCATAGCCATGAGGGTATATATGCTCACCCTCAGCCTGAGAACCAGGCCAGCAGTCCTGCCCTTGGCAAGACCACAGCCCTTTTCCATTGGACCTACTGTGTGTGCACACACACCCTTGGCCTGAGAACCAACCTGGTAGCCCAGCACCCTGCAAAGCCATGCCACTGTCAGTACAAACTCTTGCAGCCTAGGCCACTGAGATACTCAAAGATATTACAGATGTGGATTGTAATTGAAGAAACTGCATGAAGACTACACTTCTGTGACTCTAGAACCAAAGCCAACACGCCCTATTTAACTGACATGCTAGGATGCATCTACGGAAAAAATCTTTCTCTAAGAAAGCTACTCCATAAAATTAGAAGAGGTGATTGTTGCACTAGATGTGCAGCTATCAACATAGGGACACAAGAAACATGAAAAAACAGGAAACGTGACCTCTCAATGGAGCTCAATAATTCTCTAGTAACAAACCTGAAATAAAATATACTAAATGCCTGAAAAGGAATCCAAAATAATGATCTTAAGGAAACCCAGCTAGATAACAAGAGGATATAAGCAAATAATTCAATGAAATCAGAAAAATAATTTATGATCTGAATAAGAAATTCGACAGAGATAGATATCATAAAAAAAGAACCAGAGAGAAATCTGAACTTAGGAAGTCAATGAATGAAATAAATGCAATTGAGAATTCAACAACAGACTAGAATATTATATAACAACTTTCTTTCTCTTCTTATAATTTTAAAGTTTTACCTGATATAAGTGTAGCTACTCCTGGTTGCTTTTGTTTTCCATTTGCATGGAATATCTTTTTTCATCTCGTCACTTTCAATGTATATGTATCCTGACTGGACCTACTGTGAGTCTGTGAGTAAAGTAAGTCTCTTGTAGGCAGCACATAGTTGGTTCTTGTTTGTTTGTTTGTTTTGTTTTTTAAATTTATTTTGCCACTATATGTCTTTGAATTAGATAATTTAATCTATTTGCATTCAAAATTATTATTGATCAGTAAGAACATGACTCCTGACATTTTGTTAGTTGTATTCTGGTTGTTTTGCAGATCCTTTGTTTCTTCATAAAGAATTTTGTGATTATAATAGACTATTTTAAGCTTATTACAATTTTACTTTGGTCACATAAAAATACTCTAGCCATTTATCCTCCCCCTAACAGTTTATATTTTTGTTGCCTTAATTCACATCATTATAGATTATGTATTCCTTAATAACTAATTGTGTCTGTCGTTATTTTTGAACATTTCGACCTTTAAACTTAGTACTAGAGGCTTGAAAGATTTACATAGCACCATTATAGCATTGAAATATTCTGAATTTGATTTTGAACTTCTGCTAGTTTTGTGCTTTCACATGTATTTATGGTGGTAATTATCATCCTTTCACTTTCAGTTGCATCATTTCCTTAGGCATTTTTTGTAAAGTTGGTCTAGTAACAATAAGTTCCCTCAGTTTTTGCTTGTCTGGAAGGGACTTCATTTTTCTTACATTTCTGAAGAATAGCTTTGCTGGATATAGTATTCTTGGATAGCAGTTTTTATTTTCATTCAACACTTTGAATATAATATCCTTTGTTCATGAATTGGAAAAATTAATATTGCTCAAATGTCCATACTACTGAAAGCAACTAACAAGTATGGAAAGGAAATATTCAATGCAATCCCTATTAAAATACCAATGACATTATTTTGACCAAAGAGAAGGTACAGTCCTAAAATTTGTATAAAACCACAAAATACCCTGAATGGTCAAAGCAATCTTGAGGAAAAGACCAAAAGGCCAAAAACCAAAAACAAAGCTGGAGGCATCACACTACCTGACTTCAAAATATACTAAAAAGCTATAGTAATCAAAACAGCATGGTATTAACATGAAAACAGACACAGATCAATGGAACAGAATACAGAGCCCAGAAATAAACATGCAAATCAACCTCCAACTGAGATTTAACAAAAGTGCCAGTAACACACATTGAACAAATAAGTCTCTTCAATAAATGGTGATGTGAAAATTGGATATCCACATGCACAAGGATGAAACTAGACCCCTATCTTTTAACATATTTAAAACTCAACTTGAAATGATTTAAAGACTTAAATATAAGACCCGAAACTATGAAACTACTAGAAGGAAACATTAAGGAAATGTTCATGTCATTGGACTGGGCAAGGTTGTTTCGGATAAGACCTCAAAAGCACAGACAATGAAAGTAAAAATAGATAAATGTGATTATATCGAACCAAAAAGCTTCTGCACAGTAAAAGAAACAATCAACAGAGTGAAAACACAATCTACAGAATGGGAGAAAATGTTTGTTAACTATGCATCTGACAAGGGGTTAATATTCAGAATATATTAGGAACTCAAACAGCTGAACAGTAAACAAAAATAAACAAAAAACAAAACAAATAATTTGATTAAAAAATGGACAAAACACATTGCTTCTGGGATTCAGACAATATCCTGTTTTCTTGATGGGGTGAAAATGGTATAGATATTTGCTTCATGATAATTCATTAACTCTACATTTCTGTTCTATACCCTTTAGTATATGTGTGTTGTATTTCACAATCCAGTTTTTAAAAAAATCACTTAGAATAAAGGACACTCCTTGAATGTTACAATTTACCATACTCATGGGACAAAATCCACTGAGACTATAAATTGATGAAATATAATTTGTGAGTGCGTGTAGAGGCAGGATAATGGAAAGAGGAAAAGTGTTGGGGCCACATTTATTGAAGTCAAAATATCACTGGATTTGGTGTTAGAAATCTAGAGTTAATATCTCATTTCTTCCTCTAATTAATTTGGGTAAGTCTCCCCATCTATCCAAACATCGGCTTTTGCATCCTTAACATAGGCATAATAGCACCTCCCCTTTTCCTGCCATGTAAAATTGTTTTTACATGGCATTTGTATACTTGACGATGTTTGGCAATGTATGTGTATTTGTTTACAATGGATGTCCTGGAAGTCCACTTGCTCCTCATGGTTTCTCTCTAGGAAGAGAAAAAGGTAGATTAACATTAGCCTGGGGGGGTATTTCTGGTAATCAAAAGGTATTCGAGGCTCGAGAGTAAGATGCACTTGTTATCCAGGTGTTAATAAATTTGAAAGTTTGTAGAATTTTCATTGAATATTGATGATTTTGTTTTTTTAGGCACCACCCTGATTGTGGACTGCAATATAACAGACACAAAGGATAATACAAATCTACGGTGCTGGAGAGTCAATAACACTTTAGTGGATGTTTGCTATAATGAATCCAAACGAATCAGAGAAGGGGTGGAGTAGGTGTTTTGCTTTTCTGAATTCTCTCAAAGCTGTCAAGGGTTTCTCTGTCTAAGTGAATCTGGTGTCACTACTGCCTTCTCCTACTGTCTTTGCCTCTCAATGATTCATGTTATCAATTCCACCTACCATATAGTGAGGGAGATATGTATCCCTGAGAGCAGTAAGAACTATTTCTCTCCACTACTACTTAAGATTAGTCCCACTTCCATTCAGTTATATCATGAACCATAGGCCTTCAAAGCTTAATGCCCTGGGCATACTAGGCAAACACCGGAAATGACACAAATGTGTATTTTGCAACAGTAGAAGAAAGAAATAGTAGTATAGTTCATTACTATGAGAAAGAAGCACCAATGGGGACTCTTAGGGAAGATAGTGCATAATCATTAGCTAATTGAATGGGCATAAACTCAAGTTATGGTGGTATAAATGGAGTGGTGTAAATAAAACTAATGAAGTCAGAGGGCAGAGGAGCTTGTACTGGGTTCTGCAGTGTGGATAAGTTAGGATATGTAGCGAGAATAGGGGAAGGGCCTGTGGGACTGAGGACGGTGTCTGTAGCTAACAGAACCATACATCCTTGACACCATGCAGAAGAAAATGCAAATTTGAAAATATACATTCTACATACTCACTGGGCCAGACAGCAAAGTATTCTTAGGATAGCGTGATAGTCCAAAGTGTTCTCCAAGAAAACACTTTATCTCCAGAAAACAGATTATAAAATATGTTGGGTAAATATAACTCATGTATTAATGACTGCCTCTTTTCTTTTGTAGAAGCTATGTCTCTTTTCAGGAACATAATTTGTACACAGTAAACATCACCTTCTTGGAAGTGAAAATGGAAGATTATGGCCTTCCTTTCATGTGCCACGCTGGAGTGTCCACAGCATACATTATACTGCAGCTTCCAGGTAATACTCCAGTGGGTTACACACTGTTCAGAGTGTTCAAAACGACTGCCTGGAAACACATCTGAAGGAGGAGTGACTCTAAATGCTCAGTGTGAGGCATCAGGGTGGGATTAAAAGGACAAACTCAATATGAAATCTACAGAAAAGCTCATGCAATGGCTCATGATGTTCTTGGAGCAAGGCTGTGATTTTATTGCAGTGTATTTTGAAAGTGCCATATTTTCAATACATTGAGATTTTATACATCAAAACAGAAAGAAAACAAAAGCTTTTCTTTATTTAGCTTGATTGCCAAATGTTTTGCTTTTGATTTTGACCTTTTAGATTTTTCATGAATAATTTGATATAAAGTCAAAATGCCTATGTATGTTTTTACCATGTAACTTTGTAAAATTACCTATAGAGGCTGAATTCTGAATATTTAAGCAGGAAGGCTTCTGTCTGACTCAATGTGTATACAAATTACACTCTGAGCACCTTACAGAGCTAACTGATTATCCATTGGAAGTGATAAAGTCAGTGTGTAGACAGTGGAGGCTGAAGCCAGAATCTTGAGAATAACTTTGAATTCATAACATATCAGGGGAAGTGTATGAAATACCTTGCTAAATGCTGTGAGGTTTACCAAGACAGCTGTTCTTCTTGATTCTATTAATATCGTTTGTGTGTGTGTGTGTGTGTGCGTGTGCGTGCGTGCATGCATGGCTAGCTACATGAAAGAGAGTCCTCTCTCTTGAATTTGCTGGTGTTCTTTAATGATCAGTTGAACTTACGCTTGCATACATCCAGCTAAAGTCCCACCAGAAATGTTTTTCTAGACCCTAACAGAAAACACAGTGGTTGCTGTATGGAGTTAGCAACTGTGCCTTTGCCTTTGCCGAGCTCCTGGCCTCCCAAGTGTCCCTGACCTCCCTTAGAATACTGGTGAATAGGCATCTGAGCACGGCAGCTTGCAGCTCTGGGTGTGCACATTCCTTGCCTCATTTTTGTGTCCTGAAGTCCAGTGTCGTTCTGGCCTCAGCTGCCTTAACTGTGAGTGAGCACAGTACCCTCTCCTCACCCTGGGTGCATAGGGAATCCTTGGGTTGTGCCATGTGGAAGGACCCTTGGGCTCATCTGTCACCACTGCCTATTTTTTCTCTTCTCATTGGCTTTTCCTTGTCGTCAAGTGTCCCTTTCCATCACTTTTCCCCAGTCAGTCTTGTGTTTGCCATCTCTCTCTCTGGTACCTCTATGAGGTTCCATCATCTATGCTGATTTTCTTTCTGTGTCCTCGACCCTGTAATCTCTTTCCCCATTATGGTGTCAACTGTCATCCCCAGGCAGATGCAAACAGATTCTAAATATCCAGCTGTGTTCTGTCTTCCCCCATGACAGCCCCGCATTTCCAACTGCATATGGGAGTGCAGATACACTGGCTGATGTCAGAAAGCATGTTTAAACTCTCCAACCTCCTGGTTCTGTTTTTCTTACCTTTGTTAATGGGGCTCCCGTATCTTTCACATTACTCAGGCGCAAAATCTGGGATCATTTTGATGTCTTCCCTAATCCTCCCTCATGCCAAGGCCCAGTGAGTTGCCAAGTTCAGTGGATTCCTCCCCTCCTGTCCACTCCCACTAACAAGCTGGATGGTAGAGTGGCTCCTGCCCTGGACTTTAAGGCCAGGTTTTCAGGGTCAGATCCTATCTTGTCTACTTAGGAGCTGTGTGAGCACAGCACTGTCACTCAATCTCTCTGTGCCCGTGTCTCCTCACCTGTGAAATGAGGAGAATAAAATCTTCCACAACTGTTGTAAGAAATCAGCTGGGATTTTCTTTTATACCTTTTTATTGTGGAATATAACGTACATATATGTTATAACACATGCACATGTATGGTAAAGGACACACAGAATATCTGCATCATATCACAAGTCATTGTATAGCAAACACTCATGAAACTATCACCTGGAGTAAGAAACATGCATTGTCTGAAAACCCCTGCGTGTTCTTCCTGATCTTCCCTTCTTGATAACCATCCCCCAACTTTCAGGAAAGTCATTTCCTTGAGTTTCTATTTATGCTGCTAGTCCTAAAAATATAATTTATTTTTGAGTTTTATATTAAGAGAATTATATAGTATGTTTTATTTCTTAGGTGTGGGGGGCTTATCGGTGTATCACTGATAGAGCAGGTAGCGTAGTTCATTGATTTACATTGTTGAATCCTATTTCATTGAATAACTAGGTCACAGTTGATCCACTGGGCTATAAATATGTGGTTTGCACTGTTTTGAGTTTGCAACTATTAACAAATAATACTGCTATGGAAATTCCTGTTCATGTGTCTGTGTACCCATGTAGAGGCATCCCTCCGGGATATATCATTGAGAGTAGAACTGCCAGGTGAGAGTCTGTCATCAACGTTTCTATATAATGCCATACCGTTCCTCAACGTGATTCACTGATATTTACTACTAGGCGGTGAAACGGAAACTCTGGCTTGGCATTCAGGGCCTCCCTGATCTACTTGTTATCACTCATTTCCCAGTTGTCACCTTCCTCTACGCACAGAACAGAGAGCCAGATCAGAGACAAAGGTGGCTCTTTTGTGGGCTCATATTGTGACCAAGGAGGTGACTTTGAGACGAGAGCAGAAATGTGCGGTAGGTCAGTGAGGACAGGTTGAAAACCTGTTTTCACCCAAGCAGAGCCTGCTGGCATTTCCTCCTCTCTGACTCCCATTAGCTTACAGCAGAAATGCAGCCTGGCTTAGGCCAGAGAGAGCAAGAGACTCGGGGTCCACCTCAGAGAAAAGAGGGGAAGCTGTTGTAAGAAGCCTTGGAGATTCTATAAGACTTGAAGTGGTTACAACTTAAATCTGCCCCAATCTAGAAGTTTTAGTTCTTTATTGGATAACCTAGACTGAAGCTGACCAGTGGTGATTTCCATGCCAATACTGACTTGTTGAGCTATAGCTAGTGCTCGACTTACGACCATGATTGGGACCGGCAGACTGGTCGTAACATGATTTGGTTGTAAGTTGAGTAGGCTATATGTACAGTTGAAATGGTGCACGGAGATGGTAGTGCTGCCGGAAGCTGGTCCGTACTGTCGTATGCCCAGCTGGGCAATGTTTGCGCTGCCAGACGCGGAGCAGTCGTGGCTAGCGGTTCTGGTTGTAAGGTCGAATGGTCGTAAGTTGCATAGGTCGTTAAGTCTATCAATACCTGTATCTGAAAGCACTGTGCTCCGAAGGATTCTGAGGCCAAGTCCAGGCTCAGAGGAGCTAATGCTGTGACCAGTTAGTTAACACTTGTCAAGCTTATGGAGGGATGGAGTCCTTTATCCCCTTTGTTTTAAGCTCGTGCTTCCTAAATCCCTTAGTTCCTGGCAACACTCGTTTTATCTCAAATGTAGAGTAGCATTGGTTCCGCTGATGTAATGTTGTCTGTCCTGACTGAGCTCCTAGGAACTTCACCCTCTTAAGTCCAAACCTCTTGTTGGTTTACCTGGGGACAGAGCTAACTTTATAGCTTCTCTGTTTGACTTCCGTATGTTTGTCGAAGACACTTCCAGATTTGAATCTTATTTGGTTTTTCTGAAGCAGGGTCTCTAGAAAGTTGTTTAAATTGGCTTTGTTCTTCCATGAATTTGCATATTACTCGTGCTCACCCACCATCTCAGTTGAAGGCTGTAGTAGTCAAATGGCCCAGATGGTGAATACCACCATTAACCTTAACAGGACATCTGGTACATCAACAATGTGCTTCCCATTTATTTCTGTTTCAAAGCCCCAAGTCCTCTGGACTTATTCATTAATGTCCTGTTTCCAATTTAATTATCTTCTAGCTTGTTTATAGAACAGAGGGCATCAACCCACCTGAATGCAATGAGTAAAGAGACCGAGAATTTTAGAGCATCACTTCTGTCTACGTGCCAGAGGCTTTCTGAGCCTCATCAGTACCGTGAGCATAGTCTTCCTGTCGTGGCAGTTAACAATACCAAGATCCCTGACATAGACACTGAACACTCCCAGACACACAAGCCTTCCCAAAGGGAGAGGTGGCAATGTTGCCCCCAGAAGGAATTATAACAAGAGCTGGGAAAGGGCAAAGAGGAGTAGAGGACGGGAAAGCAGGAAGGATCTGTCTTATGATTGAAGTGAGAGGTTCTCACTAGTGGCCAGGATTGGATTGGACACCAGTGTGTAGTGTAGCGCATCTATACTGGCTGCACTAGGACTTAATGAATTTTTTGGGCACCAAGTGTGTTCTTAGTTACTGTGCTATGTATTTAAAGACATGCAATAGTAAATGGGAAATCCTGGGCCTCAAGATGTTTACAACATGGCCTGGCCTAGGGTAGGTGGCCATAAGCTCTTTGATGAGTATTTTACAGCCACTGTGGAAAACATTATGGTGGTTCCTTGAAAAACTAAAAATACAACTACCATATGATCCAGCAATCCCACTGCTGCTTATATACCCAAAAGAAAGGACTTCCGAATATGAAAGAGGTATCTGCACTCTCATGTTTATTGCAGCACTGTTCACAATAGCCAAGATATGCAAGCAACCTAAGCATCCCTCATGGATGACTGGATAAAGAAATTGTGTCATAGATGCACAATGGAATATTATTCAGCCATTAAAGAGAATGAAATCCTGTCATTTGCAGCAAAGTGGATGGAATTGGAGGTCATTATGTTAAGTGAAATAAGCCAGGCACAGAAAGGCACTTATTGCATGTTTTCACTCATACGTGAGAACTAAAAAAATTAATCTCATGAAGGCAGACAGAAGATTGGTGGTTACCAGAGGCTGGGAAGGGTAGTGGTGAATGGGGGATAAAGAGAGGTTGGTTAATGGGTAAAAAAAAAATACACTTTGATAGTAGGAATGAGATCTAGTGTTTGGTGGCTCAACAAAATGACTATAGATAACAATAATTTATTGTATAATTCAATATAACTAGAGGAATAGATTTGGAATATTCCCAGCACAAAGAAATGATGAATGTTTGGGGAGGTGGTATCCTAATTGCCCCGACTTGGTCAATACACATTGTATGTTTGTTTCAAAATATCCCCCATAAACATGTGCAAACACGTACCCCATAAATATGTGCAACTATTATGTGCCTATAAAAATTTAAAAAAATTAAAGTGCCCTAGGGGCTCAGAAAAAAGAACCCATCTTCCTCTCCTCCTCTACCCACCCCTCCATCCAGTGAGGACTGGAGGATCAGGAAGGGGCTGAAGAAGGAAGTAGTGTGTGAAGTGGGTTTTAAGACTAGGAAGGATTTTCCTTCCTCTCTCCTTCTTCCATTTTTCTAATTCTTTCCTTCCTAGAGGGCCTTCTTTGGTGGTATGGGTTTGGGCTGTGGTAAGGCAGAAGCCATGCTGTTCCTTTTCTTGGATGTGTAGAAGCATGTTTCCAGGGACTTGAAGTTCCGGAGGAGCTGGTTCTGTTCCTTGGCTGTCTCCTGCCCACCAATTAGGCTCCCAATTGCTCTGCAATGTATTCACGAAGCAGAGTAGGGTGTAAACATTCTTTCTGAGACTGTGTCTTTTGCACAGGCACCCAGCCTGGAAATCGATGGCACAGAAAGGATGAGGCAAGAGTTTGGCTCTTGGCCTGTCTTGTGGAGTGAGCGGTGCTGGCTTCCAGAGGAGACAACGGTTGGCTCTTTCAAAATGATGGGAGTCCAGCTGTGCAACTTTGAGTGGCTGGGAAAGCGGTTATAATAGGATTGTCATCAAGAACAGACAGCAGCAACAGCTGGAGAAGGTGCCCCATGAACATACTCAGCCTTCACCTCCGGACAGTCTCATGTTGACTCAGCAGAACCTGGACATGTGTGTTTTGAAAGCAGTCCTCACACAGTTGGGTCCATGCTGCGTCTGCCACTGGAAAGTAGGGCTCTGCAGGCTTTTACTCTCATAGGTTCCCAGGGGCTGACTTGTTTCCTAACAATCATGGTCCAGATGAGATTATTCTGCTCCCATACCCCTCATTTGGCTTTTAAGAAATATTTAAGCAGTGCCCTCATTGACACCCAATACCTTTCCATTTGGCATTCATAACATGATCTATGTTCATAACGAATGTAATGGACTCTTTGTATCATTTTCATAATTATAATTGTTTTATTTTTTTGCTGTCATTTGTAGCTCCAGATTTTCGAGCTTACTTGATAGGAGGGCTTATTGCCTTGATGGCTGTGGCCGTGTCTGTTGTGTACATCTACAACATTTTTAAGATTGACATTGTTCTTTGGTATCGAAGTGCCTTCCATCCTACTGGGACCATAGAAGGTAAGTGTGTGTAATCACTGAAAAAATGTCTCAAAACTGGCAGCCTCTTATACATATACAACTATTTCAAATATACTTTGGTGTATTTTACTAAGTTGTTGGCAAATTTAGGAAAAGGAATCTCCTTGGACCTGCCTATGCTTTAGAGAAATGATTTGTCCCTAATCACTAGCATCACTTGGTCAGATAAGGTTTAAGGCTCTTGTGATTGAGGAAATGTTTGCTAAGCAGCAGGGGGAGATCATCTTCTATGTCCTGCTGCAACCATGTTACAAAGGTTTCCACGTCCATCCTCCATCCACTGCAGGAAAGTTTGTCCAAGAGCAAAGTTCTCTCCATCCGTGACGTGTGCTCAGCACAACGGGTGCTTTTGTGGAATCTGTTTTATGGAGAGGGATGAGCTGCCTGCGGTTGGCGCTCTCTCTAGGCCCTGTACTTGTGCCTGAGGGGATTTAAGTCTTCAACTCTCAGATATGGAGAGAGATCAACCCAAATTTGAATGTGACTTCTCCACTTACTCCCTGTATAAACTTAGAAAGATATTTAACTTTTTTCTTTTTCTCAGCTATAGAAAGGAATAGAAGAAGGAAGGGAGGAGACGGGGGTGGGGGGGAAGAAAGAGACAGAGGAAAGGAGAGAGAGGGGGAGGAGGGAGGGAAGAATGGAGGGTGGGAGAAAAAAAAGGAAGCAACGGAGTGGTCAGGTGAGGGGGAGGAGAAGGGAGGAAGGGAGAAAAGAAGGAAGGAGGCCGGGCACGGTAGCTCATGCCTGTAATCCTAGCACTTTCGGAGGCCAAGGTGGGTGGATCACAAGGTCCGGAGTTTGAGACTAGCCTGGCCAACATGGTGAAACCCTGTCCCTACTAAAGATACAAATAATTAGCCGGACATGGTGGCACGCACCTATAATCTCAGCTACTCGGGAGACTGAGGCAGGAGAATTGCTTGAACCCGGGAGGTAAAGGTTGCAGTGAGCTGAGATCGCGCCATTGCACTCCAACCTGGGCAACGGGAGTGAAACTCCACCTGAAAAAAACAGAGAAAGAAAGAAAGGGAAAGTGATTAAATCCTGCTTTTTGACAGTGGGAATAACTGAGTTGAAGTACATGGAAGCATTCAGCTGGTGCGTGGGGTACAGGCAGCCTCCATTGCTTGTCTGGAGGTCAGAACAAATCCCCATCACCACAGCTGTGGGTTTCAGTCTCCCTGCCAGTGCTGTTTGGCAGGGAAACGCCGCAGTGTGATCCTGACTCCTGAGAGCCTGGCATTTCCCACCATAGTGGTTGTGACTCTTCGTGCTCCTTTTTTCTGTTTTGTTTTGTCTTAGAACAGAAACAGTCTATTAAGGCCTTGAAAAAGTAATAAATCTGCTTTAATGTCCCCTAATTAGATGGAAAAATAAATATAAGCCCAGAGAAGCTCATGCAGCTGAACCTGTGTGGAGATGCACAAATTTATACCTTTTGAGTCCGGAGGCTTGAGTGACAAGAGCAGGAAAGGGAGGGAAACTGAGTGTCCAAGAATGTTTTATGGGCAGCTAAAGCATAAAAGAGGTCACTGGCATCAGGTGCCAGCTTTGCACATCAAATACACGGCACAAGTTGTTATCCACATGTTTGATAAAACATAGATATTCTAACTTGGACTTTTTCCTAATTAAATTTCAGAATTCAAAATTAGCAACCCAAGCAATGTAGAAAGCAATTAACTCCTTTTTAATTACAAAAGTCACCCGAACCTTGAGTGTCCAGTACAACCTGAAGTGCTTCTAGCACTGTGGATAGTCCGATTGGGCATGAGGGGTCTCTGTTTTTGGCTCTGGCCTCTGCAGAAACCACCCTGTCTAAGCACGCCCATGTCTTTGAGAAGAAGACGGCTCAGTTCCCCACCACTTACTGTTTTCTGACACAGATGTGAGTGGTTCAGTTGCTTTCTACTTTTTGACGAGCAGAAGGCTGTGTCACTTTACGTATTCTTCCTGGAAGCTCAGGCCCCATAGTGTGTCTGTCTCACGCTCTCTCTCTCTCTCTCACTGAGTCACTGCAACTCCCAGGAGCGTGACTACAGCTGTGACTTATGGGTGTTGTGCAGAGTGTGTGGGGAGGCTGCTAGTGAGGTCGAGTTTAGCAGGAAGAGAAAACAGGAATAGTGACTCACGCTGAGCAGCGGGGGCCAGGAGGCAGCCCCGCCCTCTGCCAAGACTGGGACTTAGCCCAGACTGCACCGGTGGGAAGAGGACTTGGCAAGGGAGGCTGACAGGCAGCCAGGGATTCTTCTTTTCTTTATTTTTATTTGCCTGATTCAGGAAAGTATGTGTGCATTTTGTGATGAAATTCTCTACAGCTCTGCCTACGAGAACGAGCCCGTAATATCTCTGTGTGTTGACTTTCACAGTGAACTACTAATGAGACTCTGAGATTAGTCCCAGATCCTGTTTACATCCTTGTTCCCCTTAAGGATAGTTTCTGAGTTGAATCAGGAAATACCGATTAACAGATGAAAATGAGGAAGCAAGAAATAATGTCCTTCTTAGGATGAGTTGTTTATCCTTACTGGGTTAGCTAAGCTTTATCACTCAATTAATAATTTGGTGTGCATGACTCACTGTTTTAGGAGGAGGCATTGACTCCTAAAACTTCAGGCCTGGCTGAAGTCAGCAAGTTCCATATCTTCTCTAGCAAGCAACTAGAGCTTTGAAAATTCTCCTGGCAGGAGTGCATGTGTGTAGGAGGATGGAAGAGTCTGTGTACACATCTCCTAGAGAGATTTCAATATGCCTTACCGTACTCCACGTAGGTCTTTGGAGAATGTGCATGTAGAATAGAATGGTTAAAATGAAGCCAAGTCAAATAGATCAGTGAACAAAGGGAAACCAAGAGGACAACGGGAAAACAAGTCGGGGTAGAGTGAGTGACATCTTTAACAATTATTAAAGGTGAATTTTCTTTCCAAGCTAAAGCAAAGGCAACAACAAGATCCACTGTGTGCTGTTCACAACAGCCTTTCAAATTTTCATGCAAGAACACGGCCTGTTCTGAGACTAATTTCCAAAGGCAGATTTTGTGTTTTTTTTTCCATAGGGAGTCCTCATTTCAAAAGGGCATGGTGTAGGGAAGCTTGACTGTAACAGCGTTCCCTTGGTAAACGTAACAGCACATTTTGAGTGGCGTTTCTTCTAGTGTTTTCTATGCCTGCTGGGCTAAACCACCAAACCTCCTGCAGTTCAGTAAAAGCATTTGTGTGAAGGCCAGATTGAATCTGACGTTTCCACTATTCTGGTTTGATCAGGCCTAAAATTGAGAGAAAGTAGGGAATTGAATGATTTTTAGGTAATATTTCATAAATATTAATTTCTGTGAATGAGCTTTTACATATTTTTGCTAAGAGCCAAGAAGGACATAACAATTTTAAGGGAGTAGAAATAGACCCTGTGTCTTTGAGGGGGTGTGGCAAAGCTTTGGAAGAACATGTGGCACTGGAAATGTTGCTGGGGCCACTTCTGGAAAATTCAGACTGACACCGCTGCACAGGACTAATCAGGGATATGTTTTGTGAATTTCCTGCTCCCATTTCTCATTTTAGCCACAACAAAAGCCACGGTGGACCTGGGTTTAGATCAAGGCTATGCACTCACCAGCCGGAAGACTTTGGAGAGATCGTTCAGCCTTGCTGGTCTCAGCCTCCTTACTCATAACCTGAAGATACAACCATGTCCCACACAGTTGATCATGAGAGGCAAAGCTGGGAAATGTTGAGGTGCTGCTGCCTGGCAAGGCTCTTCAAAATCAGTGGCCTGATGCAAAAAGCAAAAGACTACAACTTGATCTTTTGCTGTTAATATATTGGTCAGTAAATCATGAATTAGTCATTTGAAAGTGATGAAAACTCACTACATTTTGAGAACATCAGCAAGTTCTATTTCTATTCAAAAGTTTAGACAGAAAGAAAAAAAAAGGTAACCCAAAAAATTGGATGCATTTGTATATTTTGAATTTTTAAAAGATGTGAGACTTTCTTGCTACTCAGCTCTCTTCTGATCCTGAAGCTGGACAGCAACAAGTACCTTTATCCTCAGACATCTTGTTTAGAAAGAGGAAACATTTGCAAAAGAGAGAATACACTTAGCAGACATGGTTTATTTGTTTTTTTAAAAAAATCAGAAGCAGTAGGAAAAAAAGGAGAAACAGATTGAGAGAAGAGAGATACTAGTGGCAGGGCCTGAGGCAGGTGACAATAAGCTTGCATGTCTGGTGTAGTTTAGAAGTTTAGAAAAGACCAGGAAATACCATATTTACTGGAGAAGCTATTCTCTGTGGCGAACCCAGCATCAACTCACCCAGCCCTTTATCAGAAACCAAAGGATAAATATCACATTTTAAATGGGAAAATTAATTCCTTCTTCAAAAGCTCAGAAACATAAGAACCTTATGAAATGTTTCTTTTTCCATCTTCTATCTACAGAAAAAAAAAATCCTCTGGCTTTGGAAAGTTGAATGTGTGCCATGAAATTTTACACAGAAACGTATCCACTTATTTGAGTGGTGCTCCCAGTGACCTTTAAGATTCCACAAGGAGTTTTAGTTGTGTTGGGTTTTTGACAATTCAAGACACAAATTAGTGATCCCTTTTGTACCTGCCCTGTGATCACACTTTAAAAAGCTGAGTCTGACCTCAACCTTGTCCCCAACATAGATATAAGCTCTTTGAGCCTCCTTAAAATTAACCTTCATTTGGACATTTGGTGAGCACTGACAGAAGCCTCCTCTGAACCCAGTCCTGCTCCAGGGGCTGAGGGTAGGGCAGGGAGCCAACAAAGTCTCCACTCTCACACAGCTTCCTTTCATGATGGGGTGGTGAGGCAGAGAAGGAGTGTGCACATATGTACGTGTGTGTGTGCATGCATGTGTATGACTGCATGTGCATGCATGTGCACGTGTGTACGTGCGTGTGTACTACCATTCTCCAAAAGAGATGGCCAAGAATGGTGAGCAGGGACCCGAAGGTCAGCAGTGGTAGGTGTGAGAATTGATGGAATGAGAAAAGGTGATATGTAAACTGTCAATATCTGTGCATGTTTTTATTTCTATTATTTGGACAAAAACTGGAAGAGTACAACGTTTTCCTTTCCCTTGTTAATCTTAGAATCACCCCTTTCTGCGAGTCTATCCATCAAACAACCTCTCATGAAAAGGGGATAGAAAAGGACACCACCCCTCTCTAGTACCTACTAGGCTGCCTGAGTTTCTAAACAGCCTAAAGCTCGAAATCGTGTTTTCCAATGAGACACTCACACTTACCTCTTCTTCCACTCAAGCCCTCTGGTCCTCCTGAAGTTCCTTATTCATTCACACAATTCATAAGTAGGGAATCATTCCTCCTTCCATGTCCTGATGATGCTCCCCTGCAAGCTTGTTTACCATCCACTCTTAGACCCTCACTTTTTTTTTTTCCTAAACTCTCCCAGCCTTTAAAATCCAAGAGCTGTCCCATTTTCATTGTGAATTTTTTTTCAATTTCTTCCTGTCTTTTCTGTTAGTTTGGCTCTCGTCGCCTCGTAGTGCCTTGTGTTATTTCATCTCTCTGCATATGAATGGTCTGCCCAGTTAGGTCTATGTCTTGTTCATCTCTGCGTTGATCAACACAGGGGCTGCTTTTGAGGTTGCTCAATAAATACTGATGCTGATGACTTGCGCTATCGGGTTTGACTTCTCTCAACAGCACTGCCGGTTATTAGAGTCTGCTCAATTGCTTGTTTTCTTGTTTCACAGACCTGAGTCTGTGGGTTTGTAGTGATGGAATTCACTGATGGTTCTGAATCAGGAGGCGGTCATCCCATTTTGCCTGGTGCAGTTAGGACAGTGCTCCGTCACGCAGGACACACTGAGGGCAACATGGGTAAATGGGTAGAGTTTCCTGCTTTTTTTGTTTGTTTCTTTTAGAGATCCGTTTTTTGTTTGTTTTAGAGATGTGGTCTTATTCTGTCATCCAGGCTGGAGTGCAGTGGCATGATCATAGCTCACTGCAGCCTTGAACTCCTTTTTTTTTTTTTTTTTTTTTTTTTTTTTTTTTTTTTTTTTTTTTTTTGAGACAGAGTTTCACTTTTGTTGCCCAGGCTGGAGGGCAATGGTGTGATGTTGGCTCACTGCTACTTCTGCCTCCCAGATTTAAGCGATTCTCCTGCCTCAGCCTCCAGAGTAGCGGGGATTACACGTGCCCACCACCATGCCCGGCTAATTTTTTTGTATTTTTAGTATCGACAAGGTTTCACCATGTTGGCCTGGCTGGTCTCGAACTCCTGACCTCAGGTGATCCGCCCGCTTTGGCCTCTCAGAGTGCTGGGATTACAGGCGTGAGCCACCACACCTAGCCACATCCTTGAACTCCTAAACTCCCATTTCAGCCTCCTGAGTAGCTGGGATTTCAGGAGTGAGCCATCATGCCTGGCTAACTTTTAAAAAGTTATTTTCTTTGGAAAGTCTTGCTATGTTGCCTAGGGTAGTCTTGAATTCCTGGCCTCAAATTATTCTCCTGCTTGAACTTCTTTATTACAGGCATGTGCCACTGAGCTGGACGAGTCTCCTGCCTTTAATTCTCATTTCTGGCCACATCACGGGGAGTGGCGGGCTCAGAATCAGAAGATACGGGGCGGGGTTAGGAATTACAAATGTGATGCAACCTACTCAGCCTCAGCTTCACTCTCCGCAGTGAGGTTAAGACCATCTCCCTGAGGGGTCCATCTGTGAGAGGAGATGATGTTGCTTGGCAGCCCCTGGCACCAAGCCAGCTAGCTGGGCACTCTGAAGTCGTGGAATCCAGGCCGAAGGACAGCACGGTAGCCACTCAGGCTTCCGGTTTGTTAACATGAAAGAATTTGGTAGCAACAATTCCACGCGCTTGTCCATTTCCTTTTCAGATGGGAAGCTGTATGACGCCTACGTCTTATACCCCAAGCCCCACAAGGAAAGCCAGAGGCACGCCGTGGACGCCCTGGTGTTGAAGATCCTGCCAGAGGTGCTGGAGAGACAATGTGGATATAAGTTATTTATATTCGGCAGAGATGAATTCCCTGGACAAGGTGTGTTTTAAGTGAGGTATAAAAATAACAAGGAAAGTGACCCCTCTGTTCCTCCACTTTACTAATGGCGGTGACTCTGCTGGCCTTCCCCATGGAACCACAGGACGTCTGTGAGCAGCGCCCCCCACCGGCCAGCCCCCAGGCCCCAGGCCCCAGCCCCCAGCCCCCAGCCAAGGAGCTTAGTTAGACCCAAGCTTGCTGCGCTCTCTAGGCTCCTCCCTGCTACGCAGTGCCTGGGATTCTTGCAGCAGCGCGCGTCTCACTTTCAGTGAGTATATGGTTAAGCCATTCGCTTGAACAGCTGGCCAGTGACGAAAGGTGGCAAGTGGTCATTTGCCCTCACGTCCCTAAGACAAACGGCTGGGTTGTTTCCCCATTGGTTTGAATATGTAAATCAGGTCGTGCTTAAAGCTGATTTTATAAACCTCAATCCTACTTGCCTTTCCCCTCCCTAAATACAACGGAAGTTTTAAGTTTACTTTTCCCATTTGAAGAAGGTGGCTTTGGACAATTCAGTTATCATCTCTGAACCTCAGTTGTCTCATCTGTAAAATGGGGAGAGGAATGCTTCCCTGACTCAGATGAGAGCACTGAATGAGAAAACCTGAGAAGGAACCCCCGGCATGGAGCTCGCACATCTTAGACACTCACACAGCAGTGCTTTCCTGTCCCTTTGTTCTCCTTTTTGGAAGGCTACACAGCAAAATGGCTGAAATCTGAAACTTTTTTTCCTAGTCACCAGCAAATGTCAGTTCACTCACTTATTCAACAAATATCTACTGAAAACCTCTATGTGATGGACACTATTCTAGGCACTAGAAAATCAGCCAAGCAAAAGGGACTGTCCTCAGGGAGGTTCCAGTCTATTCTTATTTGCTATGAGATGTGACCATAGACTGAATAGCATCTGCAGAGCTGGGAATTTAGAGAACCCTCCCTTTCCCAAGCAGTCATCAGGACATGCTATTTGGTTTCTAAATTAGTCACATCAATCCTGGTCATGTAAATAACTATAAAGAACAAAAGGAAAACACAGATTCAAGATTAACGCAACATTTGAGCTAACTACATGTTTCCTATCCTTTTAAAATCTATTTTTAAAAATGTGTTCATCTGTTAATGTACAGCAGACCTTCAGCTAGTCTGGGAATACAAAGTCAGGCATCATCAGATACTTGTTGGCCAGGGAAGGTGACATACCAAGAAACCACATGCAAAACATGATTCATGACTGCAGAGGACCAGTGCTTCAGGGAAAGCCACAAAGGCTTCACAGAAAAGGTGAGAAATGTTAAAAAAGAAAGAAAAGAAAAGAAAAACTCCAAAAATTTCTATTAATTCACATTGGGAGGCCAAGGCAGGAAGATCACTTGAGGTCAGGAGTTCAAGACCAGCTAGTGGTAAAACCCCATTTCTACCAAAAACACAAAAATTAGCTGAACATCAGCAATCCCATTACTGGGTTATATCCAAAGGATTATAAATCGTTCTATAAGGACATGTGCACACGAATGTTCATTGCAGCACTGTTCACAATAGCAAAGACCTGGAACCAACCCAAATGCCCATCGATGATAGTCTGGACAGGGAAAATGTGGCACATATACACCATGGAATATTATGCAGCCATAAAAAATGATGAGTTTGTGTCCTTTCTAGGGACATGCATGAACCTGGAAACCATCATTCTCAGCAAACTGACACAAGAGCAGAAGATCAAACACCGCATGTTCTCACTCATAGGCGGGTGTTGAACAATGAGAACACATGGACACAGGGAGGGGAGCACTACACACTGGGGTCTGTTGGTGGGAAATAGGGGAGGGACAGTGGTGGGTAGGGAGTTGGGGAGAGATAACATTGGGGGAAATGCCAGACATAGGTGATAGGGAGGAAGGCAGCAAATCACACTGCCATGTGTATACCTATGCAACAATCTTTCATGTTCTTCACATGTACCCCAAAACCTAAAATGCAATAAAATAAATAAATAAATAAAAAAGATGTATAGAACTAGACCGTGAACTCCAGGAAGACAGGGACTAAGTCTGCATTGCTTACTTCTGTACCACCAATGTCCACTCCTGTCCTGTTATATGGCCAGTACTCAATAAATGTTGAATGTTGCAAAAAAAAAAAAAAAAATTAGCTGGGCATGGTGGTGCGTGCCTGTAATCGCAGCTACTCGGGAGGCAAAGGCAGGAGACTCACTTGAACCTGGGAGGCGGTGGTTGCAGCGAGCTGAGATTGTACCACTGCACTACAGCCTGGGCAACAAGAGTGAGACTTCATCTCAAAAAAAAAAAAAAAAAAGTCCATTTTCTCCCCTCAGAGCCTGTTTCTAATATTCTCAGTAGCATTATGACCCTGGGCTGTTTTAATTGTGAGCTCTTCTGAGTCTTCTTTCTTTATTTCCAGCTGTGGCCAATGTCATCGATGAAAATGTTAAGTTGTGTAGGAGGCTAATGGTGATTGTGGTCCCCGAATCGCTGGGCTTTGGCCTGTTAAAGAACCTGCCGGAAGAACAAATTGCAGTCTACAGTGCCCTCATCCAGGATGGGATGAAGGTCATTCTCATTGAGCTAGAGAAAATCGAGGACTACACAGCCATGCCGGAGTCAATTCAGTATATCAGACAGAAGCACGGGGCCATCCGGTGGCACGGGGACTTCACAGAGCAGTCACAGTGTGCGAAGACCAAGTTTTGGAAGACAGTGAGATATCACATGCCACCCAGAAGGTGTCCACTGTCTCCTCCAGTCCAGCTCCTGCAGCACACGCCTTGCAACTGCATGGCAGGTGAGCGAATGGGAGGAGGACACGAGGTTCACCACGCACTGACAGGGGGTTTATCATTGCGCGGTGGCTCACAGCTGAAGGAGGACGCATTTCATCGGGGCTCTCCGCTCTGAAGCTGGCAGGTGCATACTAGTGAGCGAGTCTGTTGTGTTTGTTATCATTTGTTTGCTTTGATCAGAGCTGCTGCTTCCGGGAAAGACAGGGCTTCTGCAGAAGGCCCTTGTTAGCCTATGGGCTCATTGATACACTTGAGCACTCATGAAGCCCTGGGTGGGTATGCACTTGGGCCCCTTGGAAATGGGACACAGAGGGTTTTAGAGATGGCAGTGGACATGCCCGAAAGTTTGCCCATGATAAGGCACCCACGGAGTCTGAGATGGGAGCCTGCACTGTCAGGGGACAGGAGGAGGGCAGTCTAGCACCAGGAGAGGGTTGGCAAGGATAGCAGTATTTGTCCATGGCTGTCCAGTGTCCGCAGGGCCTGTGCTCAGGTGTCATTTGCTGTGTCTGTGTCTCTCTCACTCTGCCAGTGCAGACAAAGAGCTGTGATCACAGCCTTAGCACTTTGCTTCCAGAGAGAGTTAAAAGTCACCTAGACCAGTGGGGACCCACAGGTGTGGCCACGACTACCTCTTGGTTACCCTCCCAGTAAGCCCATGCTTGAGAGGCTTTATCTGCCAATTTATAATGTAATGATTCACAAAGAGTTTTGATACTAACAATTAGCTGTAAACCCTCATTACTCTTTTCCAAGACCCTGTCTTGAGGGAATTAGGCATACCGCAATCCACTGAAGCTACGGTTGGTGACACCGAGACTTAGTAAGCAGTCAGTGGGGACTGGAAGGGAGTCAGCCCTGGGAGTCAGCCGGTGGGGATGGGAGCAGGAGTGAGAGGGTGTCAGGAGGCCTGTGGCCCTGGGATGGCGTGGGGAGCAGGTGGGTTGGGAGGCGCTGTGCCTTCATTCACAGGCAGTGGGTGGTGCCCAGTGTTGGATGGACTCTCCGGTGCTAAGGAGAGCACTCCTCTCTGAAGAATTTATGTTCCAAGGTGACCTCACATTACACATTCATTTAGCATCCTACAGAGGCCCTGACTTGACATTGATACCCTCTTTTTTTAACATTTGCTTTTTAAAATTTTTATTTTGGTAAAATACATGAACATAAAATGTACCATTTTAATAATTTTTAAGTGTAGAGTTTAGTGGCATTAGGTACATTCGCACTGTTGTGTGGCCATCACCACCATCCACTCCAGAGTTGCTTCATCTTCTGCAGCTGAAATCCTGCACCCATTAAGCTATGCCTCCCCATTGCCTCCCCATTGCTCTTAGGTAGGACATACTTAAAATGCATTTTAAGAATAATAACATTAAAAACAGCTGCTGTAACTCATTAATACTCTTACATTTTTGATACTTTTCAATAAAAAGAAACTAGAGATGCATATCGAAAAGAGGGAAGCTTTTTGACTTACAAAATTCCTGTTAAAGTATTCACCAACAGTGCTGGTCTCCTGTAAGTCGGAGGTTTCCAGAAAATACCTTTTCTTCCCATGGGTCGGCTTTCTGTTTTGCTGACAACCTCGAATGATGTGTCCTGTGAGTGTGGTCACTTGCTTACAAATAATTAATTGCTAGAGAATCTGTTTTCTAAAGTTCACGGGCCTTTCGGAGAGGACACATCCCAGCGTCTCTCCCGCTCCCCCTCACTGTGGCTGCCTCTGGCTCCCTCCATGCTGCAGAGAGAAATGGCTGGGAAGGAAGGGGGCAGCCTGTTGAGATGCCCTCGAATTGGAATGGAGTGGGGGGATTTCCCAAATCCTCACCAGACCACAAGCCAGTGACACTCACCCATTGCGGTCTACATTTACTGCACAGGGGTTAGTCAAATGGCCAGAGGTGGTGCCCACCGCCCTCAGGGGGGTTCCCTGTTGTGACCTGGTCTCAAACGCACTCCACAGAAGGAAGGGGAATGCCCTCAGCCACCCTACAGGCCCCGTGCCCTGCTCCAGGACTACAGACCGCCTCCAGAGACCAGCTCAGAGAAGAGAACAGTGGTGATTGAGGGGACAGAGTGCGGAACAGATCAGCATCGCTCATTTTCCTCTTGGGTGCAACAGGAGAAAGGGCCTGCTTTCATTAAACTGGCAAATCCTCCATGAGGAATTATGACTCCATGTTGGAGACAGAAATCAAGATGCAAAGAAATTTTTTAAAGTTCTACTAATTCCTAATGAAATAATCGGGATGCAATGCAGCAAGAATATAAATAATTAAAGTAGCCTGGTGTCACCACTGAGGTGTAGGCAAGTTGACAGGTGACAGCTCTGATAATGGTCTGGAGTCCAAATTTGCATAAAAAAGAAGGTTTAAGGGTTCCGTGGCTAAGGGACAATGAGGCAGCTTATAGAAAAGCCGACAGCCACCCTCAGTTCACTCCCATTTCCCAAATGGGCTTGGTGCAAATACAAGGTCAATGGGGCCCTATCCCTAGTCCTCGGGGGTAGGCTCCAGAATTCTAGTCCAAGCAAAGTGAAGTCAGTTTCCCATGAGCCAGTGTGCCCTCATCACAGGCCAATTTATAATTTAATGATTCATAACATTTTTTAATACTAAAAATTAGCTGTAAACCCTCATCACTCCTTTCCAAGGCCCTGGCTTAAGGGAATTAGAGATTGCTCCGGGAATCCCCAGGGACTGACCCGGAGGCAGGGCTGAGAGAGGGGATAGCACCAGAGAGCTAAAATACAGGTGCTGAGCCCCTGGGTTACCTTTCCATTCGCCTTCCTATAATGATCGAGTAAGCCACAAAACCCACTTCCTTTGATATCTCTCCTCAAATACCCTGAGTCGGCTCATGAGAAAAGTCCTGGGAGAGAACAAGTCACATTAAATAAAGGGCCTGGGAAGGTGTGGTCTTTCCCTGGAGGACCAAGTGAGATGAAGATACACATGCGAAAGTGCTTGGCAGACAATGGGAGGCCGTCAGGAGCTGGCCCGACAAAATGTGGAAGGTGCTCAGGGAGCCTCAGCCCCCAGGACCTCCCACACCCATCAGGACCCCACAGTGACACAAACCACTTCCTGCCGTGCCATGGTTGGTTGACCTTTCCTTGGCACTTGGTCCTGTTTCATATTTACAGACTTCCCTCCTACACATGCTTGTTTGGCTATTGATCTGGGGCGGTGTAGAGTGGAAAATTCCTTCCTGGTTTCCTTGTAAGAACAGAGGCTGTTCCAGATGAAGTCTGGAATGAGCTACCGAGGAAGATCCTGGCTCTAGGCGCAGTGGCTGCTGGGTCTGAATGGTAGAGGCCACACATCTCCAAGAAGTAGTATTCTGAGAGACGGGAACTCTGTGTGGGTGTCCCCTCCCATACACTCAGGGACTTGAGAGAAACGCTGCTGTTCCCTCATACAATTCCACCCTCATCTCCCAGGCTGTTTCTGGAGATGGGCTTTCCACTTGAGAAGGACCTCAGAGCCCTGGCTCTTGTCATCCAAATTCACCTTTCCTCTGGGGGCTCTCATAGTTGCTACTGCTCACCTGTGATGCTCTTGCATAACCACCTTACAAAGATAACCCAGGAGAAATGGAAGCCTCAGGGATATACCACCAGATGAACTGACTGCGAGGTGGAGATTTTCACATTCCCAGGTTTTCCTCCTCAGCCCCCATCTCCCACCACATCAGAAAGGGAGAAAACAGATCTTTCCTGCTTTCAGGCCCAAAACTAGGCTCAAGAAGAAAGAAGAGTACTCTTAGAACTGTCTAAGACTTGCTGGACTGACACCTATGGTCGGAAGATGACTTATTTCGCTCTACATTGCCTCATTTCTACACCTATTTTCTGCTTCAGGATGAGGCTGGGGTTGGCATTCTGGACACCTGGTTGAGCTCAGGCTTAGAGAAGAAGAGGATGGGATGAGAGCTGGGGGGCATCAACATGGTCGTGGTGAGTGAGAGCTGGGGGCATCTCCATGGTCATGGTGGGTGAGATCTGGGGGTTGTCTTCATGGTCATGGTGGGTGAGAGCTGGGGGCATCCCCATGTCATGGTGGGTGAGAACTGAGGGCATCTTCATGGTCATGATGGGTGAGAGCTGGGGGCATCTCCATGGACATGGTGGGTGAGATCTGGGGGTGGTCTTCATGGTCATGGTGAGTGAGAGCTGGGGGCATCTCCATGGACATGGTGGGTGAGATCTGGAGGTGGTCTTCATGGTCATGGTGGATGAGAGTTGGGAGCATCCCCATGGTCATAGTGGGTGAGAGCTGGGGGCATCTTCATGGTCATGGTTGGGTGAGAGCTAGGGGCATCTTCACGGTCATGGTGGGTGAGAGCTAGGGGCGTCATCATGGTCATGGTGGGTGAGAACTGGGGGTGTCTTTATGGTCATGGCGGGTGACAGCTGGGGACATTCCCATGGTCACGGTGGGTGAGAACTGGGGGCATCCCCCTGTCATGGTGGGTGAGAACTGAGGGCGTCTTCATGGTCATGGTGGGTGAGAGCTGGGGACATCTTCACGGTCATGGTGGGTGAGAGCTGGGGGCATCTTCATGGTGGGTGAGAACTGGGGGCATCTTCATGGTCATGGTGGGTAAGAACTGGGGGCTTCTTCATGGTCATGGTGGGTGAGAGCTGGGGGCATCCCCACGTCATGGTGGGCTGAGCTCTACATGGAAGCCTGTGCTTGGATAGCGTAGCCCTTTCTGCTGTTTTTCTACAGTGAACAATTGAACTATAAGTGTTAAAAATATCAGTAATTTGTGAAATAAATGTTATTCTCATTTGAGCAACACAAATCAATTTTGTTTCTTTACTACGCCTGTCAAAATAGCAAAAATTTTTTTTTCAGTTTAAAAAATGAAAAGGGATTTCTGCTACAATCATCTGACAGTTAGCTTGTCAACATTCAAATATTTTTCCCCTTAAATTCACTACCTTTGTGGTGTGGTCCACTGAAAAGTTGGGCAAAACTCAAACTGTGATTGTAGGTATAGAGAAACATAAGAGTCATGTGCAATAGCTATTTTTTCTACACTTAGTGTATGCACTGTTTCTCAGTCTGACACCCACCAAGATGGTGGTGGATTAATTGATGTCCCCCACCTTTGGCATGGGGGAGCCTGGAGACCAAAGCTTTTTGTTCTGATGAGTGTTTTGGTCCCCTCATCCTCCCTGATGGTGGTCTCATTTCTCCACATTTCTTCGTTGAATTTTTTTTTTTTTTTTTTAGATAGAGTTTTGCTTGTCACTGAGGCTGGAGTGAAATGGTGCAATCTCAGCTCATTGCAACCCCCACCTCCTGGGTTCAAGCGATTCTCCTGCCTCAGCCTCCTGAGTGGCTGGGATTACAGGTGCCTGCCACCAAGCCCAGCTAATTTTTTGTATTTTTAGTAGAGATGTGGTTTCACCGTGTTGCCCAGGCTGGTCTTGAACTCCTGACCTTAGGTGATCCACCCACCTTGGCCTCTCAAAGTGTTGGGATTATAGGCATGAGCCACTGCACCCAGCCCTTTCTCTTTTCTTATTGTCATCAAGGCTTACTCCCCCAAATCCCCAACACTGCCACCAGTCTAGTTAGCATGTTTCTGGAAAATGAAAACATAGCATAAGGAGAGAGGCTTGGGCAGAGGTGGGATGATTTTCCAGCAGGACACAGTGTGTCCAGG